TTTCGTCTGCTTTAAACTGCTGTTCCACGTTCCTGAGCAACCTATTGCTACAAAAGGTCAAACCTGTTCACAGTGTCTCCCAACTGTTTATAAATCTGCAACTGCATGATTTACCTCTTCGGCGCCATCAAGGGACTTCTTAGTCCTCGGTCGAGGTTAACATGATCGACATGACTCCTCGACTGCTTGAAGTTGTAACGACAGCGACGTCGCTCTAATCGCAGTTTGCGAGGAGGGGCCTCTTTCGAGGTTCCTGTTCAAATATACAAATGGGACCTTCAATCGACAAGAGCTCTAAAACTTTATCCAAGTTACTTGGTTTATCTAAAAGTTGTGTAGTCACGATTTCATTGGCAACCAAACCATCTGCACCACTTAAACAAGATAAACCTTACAAAGTTAGAAATGACAAAAGGCCTCTCCACTTCTGCAAAGCAGACATGCCAATATTGGAATGAAGCATCAGTTGTCATATCTAAAATCACATATCACAATTCGGTCGATTGAAGGTCCCATTTGTATATTTATGGTAATAAAGAGAAAAAGTCCGGCTACAAATCAAAAACTTAAAAGATTTGAATTTCAAAAAGTATGTCTTGTTCAGTGCCAGGGACTAACTGGGGTATGATTAAATACAGGTTGCTTAAAGTGCAGTAATCACACATTCTATATTGATGCACCTTAAAGCAAAAAATAATTTTATAGTGGTTTAAACAACCTGATCGTGGCACAAACAGCCAATTTTTCCTGAAATAAAAAGCACACTGACATCTAAGCAGCCCATACTTCCAAAGGTGTAACTGAAACTTCGGAGAAATGAATATCTCCAAAGTTATCCTGTTTGGCCAAACAAATTCAAAAGATGTTTCCAAACGGATCTTCAGAGTGGGTGAGTGGAGAAAACGACTTACTCACGCTGGTTAGTGAAAGATGATTATTTACCACAGAGTAATCAGTAAAGAAGAAAAAATTGAATTAGCCAAACGCAGCTAAATTTCTCTCAAAAGTTTACAACCAATTTTATAAGTTTTAATTCAGAATGACACAGCAAGAATTTCAAAATGGTTTTTAGAGGTGTATAGATCTGCTGGTTCAAAAACTTTTGTAAGACTTCTTGTGCTGTTATAGTTAAACAGCAATCCTCTAGCCTCTGCCTCACATTACCCAAGGCGTAGAGGCCTGAGTAAAATCTGCTCAAATTGCTTGAATTAAAATGTAAATTTGCAAACTTCCATTTCACTATCCTCTACAGTCACTCACTACGCTCGATAAGAAAAACCTAAAGAATTGCTAATTTTAAAAACTGAACAGATCAAGTAAAGGCTACAAATAAATCTTGGAATTCATGTTCTGCATCTCTACGCTAGTTGCAGCAAGACCTGTACCCTTCTTCAGAAATTTTTCACCGGCAAGTTCAAATGATAGTAAGGAGTGGAAACTTAATGAACACTCAGCATATCAGATTTCAATCGGTAATCAAACTTTTCCTCAGCATTATCGTATCGCCTTTTAAAAATAAA